AGAAAGAAAGAAAGAAAGAAAGAAAGAAAGAAAGAAAACACTGACCTCTCAGATTCTGCTGAGGACAGAGTGGAGATAGCCCAGCAAGGCGCCCATAGTTCTGGTGTCTAAGCCTCAGTTTCCCCATCTGTAAAGTGACATACTGGACAGGATGACTACACTGTCCTTTAACGCAGGGCAATTTAGGCTTCCGTGTGAATGCTACAGGGAGCACACTGGGACACGGGTGGCAGTGGGGAAGGCTGGCACCCAGGGGACAGTCTGGGAATCCAAAACCCCTCCACCGGCTTCCCCGGGATACAGTTTGGTCGTATCTCCAGATGTGATTCCACACAATCAGAGGTCACCTATAGGACACCTGCACCTGAATGAACACAGGCAAGCCACACACAGCAACCTGCCCCGGTTGACTCTAAAATACACACATATACTGGCAACAGCCAAAACCAAAAAATCCAGGAGAAAGAGCTCTTCCTTTTGCTTCCTAGGAGAACCTTCAAGGCCCTGCAAGATCAGGAAGGGGGGCAGGAATATGAGGACAAAATCAATGCACAACTTAATTATCGTAACTTCCAGGACCATTCAGTGCTCCCCTGGGAGGGGGGCCCCTGGCCCCGGCACAACACCTGACACAGAGAATAGTACAGGGGAGTCAAGGCCACCTGGCTGGAAACCACTTCTGCGACCTATCAGCTCAGCAGCCTCTGACAAGCAACTTAACCTAAGCCTTGGTGTTCTCCTCTGGAAAAACAGAGTAATAACGCCCCCTGTGAGCCTGTCAGGAAGACTGAGGCAAATGGCATATGTCAAATACCAGCCCACAGTGCCTAGCACGGAGCAGCTGCAAGAACAGGGGCCAACACTTGTGGAATGCCATCCCCCACTGGGCCGGACCCTATGGAACTGCCTACCTACGAAAATGGCAATACCACATGGGTCGACCTCAGGTGGACGTGCCAAGCACTGTTTTTACGGTGACTAATTCATTTTAATTCGTTGAGTCCTCTCAACCGCCCCAATGAGGTAGATGCCATTATCAGTCCCATTTTAAAGATGAGGAAACTGAGGCCCAGAGAGGTTAACACCCTTGCCGGAAGCCACACAGCTACTAACAGGAGAAGTTGGGATTGGAACACAACAGTCTGGCTCCAAAGATTAATAACTGAGATTCCAAATGATGACCCCCCTGAATCATCAAGATAAGTTGAATTTGTGTTCTGTAGCCTCAGTTTGAGGACTCAGAAAAGTGTGAAATCCATTTTAGAAAGGCCTCCTCCGTGCAAACTAGTTAAAATTAAAGAAAAGAAAAGAGAAGGAAAGGAAAGGAAAGGAAAGGAAAGGAAAGGAAAGGAAAGGAAAGAAAAGAAAAGAAAAGAAAAGAAAAGAAAAGAAAAGAAAAGAAAAGAAAAGAAAAGAAAAGAAAAGAAAAAAAAAGACTGGCTCTAAAAATCCGCTAACTGGAAAAAGCTTCCAGGCAGCCACACCTCATTCCCCGCTGATTCCCCACACCTCATTCCCCTCATTTGCCCGCTGATGGCAAATACAGGTTTTGCTGGTGGCTTATTTTGTCGCTCAACCTGCCCTGCCATCCCTAACACAATCTAGACCCAGAAACAATCACCAAAAGCCCATTAAGATTATGGGTACTGCTGTGCCATTGTCGAATCCACAGGGATACAACAGACCTTCAGTGAGATTTCTAGGCTATAACGAAAGCAAGCTTCTTCCCTCACGGGTGAGCCCGCCCCAGGGAGTCCTGGAGACAAGGAACTGTCCTGGTCTGGGGACCCTACTTCGGAAGGCGGCTCTGAGTTATGTCAACAGTCATATCATATGAACAAGGCTTTGACTGCTCCCCTTACATGTGGGTTAGTGAATGGACCCCAGGAAGAGGCTGGGAAGTGGCAACAGTTGGGACTGAGCCAGCAGGAGTAGGAAGCAACGAATTCCGGCCACGGTCAGAGGTCCCTCTGTTTGATAGCTTCAGCTGGAGGGTGGGGCTCTCTGAGCGCAAGAAACGCTGTTCCCAAACCAGAAGCATCTCTGGAATCAACTGTGCAGAAGATAAACACTCCTGCAATATATAATTTCCTGCAATTTCTGCCTTTTCGCCCTATCTTTTTAAAAAACATATTAAGTTCTTCTAAAACAGCAGGATTGCCTCAATTTGCATCTTTCCGCATGTTAATCAGGCTGCTTGGGAGACTACAGCAAACAGCCTTTTTCTCCAGGGTGGCCTGGCCCACTCTAGCACTAGCCCTCCGACCCAGAGAGGCCTTGCAGGTCAGAGGTCAGGCCCAGAGGTCAGCAGGTGGGCTGAAGGCTGGGAGAGGGTAGCAACACCCTGGAGGGGAGAAAAGAAAACCGGGTCTTGCTGGCATGCTCCAGGATCAGAACAAGAGAGTAAGGCAAGTACAAAATTTAAAAGGCGCCCCGAATCTCAGTAATCAAAATAAAGATATAATGTGACACCTTTAAAAATCAGCATCAGTACAAAAATCCATAATAAAACACCAACGATTTAAATAAAGCCATTTTACAAATGAATAAATGGAGGCACAGAAAAGTCAAGTAACTTACCCATAGTCACACAGCTAGTAAGCAGTGGCATTTGGTCTAGATCCAGAGCCCAAGTTCTTAGCCACTTTGCTCACATACTACACCCTAAAAAGTAGTTTTATAGTTTTTTTAAAAGTTTACTTATTTATTTATTTTGAGAGAGTGTGTGTGAGTGGGGAAGGGGAAGAGGGAGAGGGAGAGAGAGAATCCCAAGCAGGTTCTGCACTGTCAGCCCAGAGCCTGATGTGGGGCTTGATCCCACGAACTAAGATCATGACTGAGCTGAAATCAAGAGTCGAATGCTTAACTGATTGAGTCACCCAGGTGCCCCTCCCCCCAAAAAAGTACTTTTAAATGGATGGTGGAACCATGGTGATATTTATTGTTTTCTCCTCAAAGTTGGCTGGGTTTTACAAATTTCCTGGAACTTGTACATTGTCTTTTTTAGTCCAAAAAAGAGAAGACATCAATTAAAAGGAAAACGAATCATTAGCTGCAACTCTGAAATTCAGCACTCCAGCAGGAGGGAACACAACTCAGAGTCAAGAGTCATTCTGTGCGCAGTGACCTCTGAGAGGGCTTCCACATTCACAGAAGGGCCCGGAACCCCAGGCTGCCGATATAAGACTACAGAAGCAGGGACCCAGGGCACAGGTGTTCTGGGATGTCCGCGAAGACCACATAGGCTAGAATTGATTGGAATATAGATGGTGGGTGTAGACGTTGGTCTAAGTGATTGGGTCTGTCTTTACACGTTGACTGTAACAACCACATGGGGGTCAAGCTGTTTTTTCTCTGCTGTCTTAATAGCTGACTTCCCAAACAATCTAATCAGTTGTACATCTGTTGATTTGGTCATTCAGAAGCTGAAAACCCCAGATTGACTGTTTTCCCTCCCACTCATGGAGACTATGTGCCTGGGATACTAACCAAAATCCATCAACAAAAGCTCAAAAGAAAAATGGGATTATTTGGCTAGGAGGATGTTCAGGGCAGTATTAATTACATTTTTTCCTAGAAGAGAATAGATTTAATAAATTATGGCTCATCCATATAATAGAGGAACAATATATAGCTATTAAATCCATGTTTTCAAAAAATATCTACTGATATGGGAAAATAAATCTGAATACCATATTCTACTAATTATAAAAGGGGTGCCTGGGTGGCTCAGTGGGTTAAGCCTCCAACTTCAGCTCAGGTCATGATCTCATGGTTCATGGGTTTGAGCCCCACGTTGGGCTCTGTGCTCACAGCGTGGAACCTGGAGCCTGCAGGACACTTATATCCGTGCTAGCCATAACATGCATCTTTCCTAAATACCAACCTGCATACTTCTGAGTCTCAGAAAAGCTTCACCACTTCCCCCCACTTCACCTAACCTCCTTCTTCTTATCTCTCTCCCCTCCTCCCAGGACTCTCCCCTAGGCTCCCACATGGAGACACTGGGCTCTCCCTGGTATCTGTCCTCAGAACAGTGAGAGTTCTGACTTTATCAAGATTCAAAACTGCTAAAGGGCTCTGCTACAAGGTCCTCCCCCCCCCCC